ATATTACGTTATATATGATATCTGTATACATTTTATTGGGAACCTTAAGTTTGCTGAAAATCTATTTTCATCTCTATTTATGAAATTTAAAATTTCAAAAATAAGACATATGGAGTATATCATAAACACTTAATAATATTAGAAATAAACAGTTTGGATAACTTGGTATAAGATGCAACATTTTTAGGACTTAAAATTTTTTTTTCTTTCATATTCACGCATCTCTTAAGGTCGAGATGCTTCTTTGGAGGGTTTTCCAATGTTTGATCACTCTCTTCTAGAGAACTTTTTAAGTGCACCTTACTTCAATAGTTTAATGTTGCAACCTAATAAAAACGTTGTCCTTATTTAAATCGAAAATCATATGACGCCCCTACCACAACCGCCAAAAAACTTGGGGGGCCGCCATTACAGACATATTTGCCATACTTTTCCCATATTGGCAAGGGCATAGCAAAAAGGGCGAAGTTAGGGTGCACAGATGGACTAAGGCCACATGTAACAACCAAAAATAATTTTATTTTTGTGTAATTTTTATCTTAATTTTGGGACATAGATTCATTTTTATGAAGTGCACCAAATAAAGATAATAAAATTATTTATATAATAATAATTATTGAATGTGTTTAGGGTATTTTGTTTAATTTTTTTGTTCAAAATATTATTTTATCATTGCCCTATAAAAATGAATACTTGTCCCAAATTTTAGGTAAAGAAAAATAAAATTGTTTTTTGACGGTTAGATGCGGCTTGGATTAATCTGAGTTGTTAAAGGGTGAATCTATACCATCCTTTTGAATTATTTATTTAATTTCAAATGGCCCAGAATTCTTCAGATGAAATTTCAAATAACCCATCAAATAACGCATCAAATGCACTTTGGAATATTTTTCACATTTTGGCCTATATTATGAACCTTGGTTGCTTCTTTATAGGCTAGCTCTGTGGAGGGCATAGAATACCGAGCTACATTCGGGTGCACAAATTGAATAAGGCTACATCTAACAGCCGAAAATAATTTTATTTTATTTTATTTTTTTATATTTTTGAGCATAGATTCATTTTTATGAAGTCCACCAAATAAAGATAATAAAAATTATTTTATATAAGAATAATTAACTATAATCGCCTTGAATGTGTCTAGGGTAATTTGTTTAATTTTTTATGTTCAAAATATTATTTTATCATTACCCTATAAAAATGAAAAACTGCCCCAAATTACCCACAGGTGAGGGTAATTTCAAATGTGAGGGAAGGTATCATAGGATCATTTCTCAATATTAAATACTGCAACTATTAGGTATAATTTTACAAACTTCCAATGATCGATTGTTTAAGGAAACTTTATCATGTTACCCATGAGAGATTAACTAACATTTATCCATATCTTTTGATTTAATTTCAAAATATCCATAAAATAAAGATGGGAAACAAGTTAAATTGATAAATAAAATAAAGATGGAAAACAAGTTAAATTGATTTAATTTCAAAATACCCATGAGTTGGAATAGTTCCAAATTGATAAATAGTTAAATAAGTAATCTCTAATGAGTATTTTGACAAATTTCCCTTGATCTTGTTGTATACATTTCATCATCAAGCAAATAAAGATGGGAAACAAGTTAGGGGACAACATCGAACTCGAAAGTTTGCATTTTACTAATTGAAGGCAATCAATTGTAGATTTACCATACAATCTTCTTAGCTAATAAGGACACAACATTATCTATTCATGGAAGAGACCACAAATCATACGACACCCTCTGGCTGGCCGCCCCCTTTTTGTTTGCAAGGGAAGTAGCAAAACCCGCCAATAATTCTTCACATAGGACACACCAACCTTATCCTATGATATTAAATAATACAATCTTACTAGCCACCACTCGAGGCATAATCGCCACCCTCCAAACCCTTATCCAACGGCCCTAATTCACCCCTCCCTAATTGAACGAAGAGCACACCTTGCGTATGTCCCCCTCTGTTCCAGTTAGGACACCAATGTTGCTCATCTTAACCATGGAGTGCCCAAACTCTACGCCAAACCGCAGTCCGAGCACTCCTCTCAGTATTCCGGCATAATTATTTACGAAAGTACGAGTGGAATCGTCTGTGAACAATCTTTGATCGGATTCCAATATTCCCCGACCGTTCCTTAGGTTAGTGAAGTACGACACATCGAATGTGTTTTGACTCCCAGTGTCTAGAGCCACTCTTCGGGTACCGTCTCCGTCGGATGGACACAGGGTTTGCAGTTGAGAGAGGAAGGAAGAGCTTATGGTTGGGTCGGCTCCATTGCCGGTGTTTGTGAAGTTGTAGAGGCGGTATCGGAAAAATTGACACTCTGCCGTGCCGATTGTGTGACCCCCTGAAACATCATAGATAAGGTTAGGTATGAATTTTGTGATTTATGATTTTAAAGGATTGAATGTAAAGAATTTCGAGGTCGAAAGCTCAAATTTCATCAAGGTCGTGGAATGGAAGTGTTTGAACTTTGAAGCATTTATAGTCACATGGCTCCCATTGGATTGGTAAGCATGATGATCTCCATCGTCCAATATGTTGAGCCTATGAATGGATCATCACATTGGACGGTGAAGATCACATATCTATTGATTGAAGGGTTTTACTCTACCTTAACGTGGTGGGATACCACTCTACCATACGATGCTTTTTATGAAGGCAAGATGTGTCCCTTCGAGATGACAAGTGAACATAGATTATCAACTTTACTATACGGCATCCTTTTCTTTATATCTCTATTATGAGTTAACGCGTTATAGATAGTGGGTACCAAATGAAGAAAAATAAATTTCCATTCACACCTCCCCCTACTCTCTCTCTCTCTCTCTCAATTGCACTGACACCTCTCTCTCTCTCTCTCTCAAAATTCCATTCACACCTCGTTATAACCTTTTAGAATTCCATTTCACTCTCTCTCTCTCTCAAAATTCCATTCACACCTCCTTATTACCTTTTAGAATTCCATTCCCACCTCCTTACCCCTACTCACTCTCTCTCTCTCTCATACACACATATGGTCCCTGTTTTTTGCTCCCTCAACCTTTCACCGCCCTCATTTCATAGTCCTATTATATATATTGAGCATCCTACGCACCTTTTACGTGGGCCTAACAACATGGCCCCAAATAAACACACACTAACGAAAGCATATACTCATTAGGAATGGGTTGAGGTCGTAGTGGTAGCACTACTTGAACTTCAAATATCGATCTAGATTTCCATTCCCACTTACATATTTAAAAACTATTGATTATTTCTAAGTTCAAAAGATATTAATGAAATTGTAAAATATGTCATAATATTTAAAAAGATCATTTTCTTTTCATATCTAAATTTGTAGAGTAGGGTCCATGGAAGTAATATTGGTTTTGGGTAACAGAAGAGAAAGGGAAAGGAGTTGTCTGCTGGATGGGTTTTATATTTTGTAAAACAAAAAAATCAAATTTATAAAAAACAAAAGAAAACATAATTGGGGGGCTAATAGTTTCAACGTTTTAAACTTGAGGGGCACAAAGATTTTGGTGAACCCAAAGAGTTAACGGGGATGAAAATTCATAGTGGGGGGTAGAGGTTATTTTTACTTATTAACAATATATTAAGGGCTTTAGAAAATCATTATCATCGTCATGGCTTTTTTTCAACTAATTAGAGTCGGCTACACGAATTCTAGTGTGTTATTGTCTATTAAAGACCATACTTTAGTATGGTCATAACTCCCTCTATCTTTTCTCACTACTTCCAACGATATCTTTTTGGGCCTATTCCTTGTTCTTCTTAAACTTTCACCGGAGCTAACTAACACTTTCCAATAGATACCATACTTCGGAGGTGTTATATTGGGTTCGCACCACACCCATATGGCTGGCTCTCTTTCATGGTTGCGAAAAAAGAATTTATATAAGCAAATAATTTGAGTGAAAATTTGAAAAGGGTCACTTACCAACGAGAGTGACTAAGTCTTGTGTGCTTAGGCCTTTTTCGGCGAATTTTTGTTTCTGCACATCCACTGAGTCTGTGAATCCTGGCAAATTTGATGCGTCGGAAGCCGCGGATACCAACCCATCTCTCCTTCCCAGGGGCACCGACCAGCTCAAACCCTTCGTCTGCACACATCACGCAAACACAACATCATCAACTAGAGAGAGAGAGAGAGAGAGAGAGTGAGTTACATATGTAAAGAAAGATACATGAAAATGAGAGAGCGAGAATTTCGAAACATAACAAGTCTGGAAAACACAATACCAAAACAACGGAATCACGAGCGGCAAGAGCTAGAATGTCTGCGCAAGAAACAACACCAGGACATGCAGCCTCAAGCTGAGCCTTGGCGTCATCAATCACTTCGAATCCTCTTAGAGAGAGATTCGGCAGTGCGTTTCTCTCAGCTGAAGGACCATTGATGAGAACAGAGGCATCGCAGCCCTGAACAAAGCAGTCATGGAAGTGCATTCTCAGCAAAGCAGGAGCCACTGATGGGTCTGATTTGAAGTGAGACTCGACAGCGGATCGAACAATCGACTCGACACGAGAGCACGATGATGAGTAGAAATCCACTTTCGTGCCCTGGCCATGTGTTGGTCTGGCATAAGCAAATACCAGAAGTAACGCTAAGAGGAGCTTATAGGTTGAATCCCCATGATAGGCCATGATGAGAGGGAGAGAGTAATGGGATGATTGTTTGTGTAAGAGATCCAGGGGGTATTTGTAATGGTAAGAGAGATGGAAATGGGATGATTGTTTGTGTAAGAGATCCAGGGGTATTATAGTGAAATAAATGTGGAGAGAGAGAGAGAGAGGGTGATTGTTAGTGAGAGAAACGTGGTGTCCTTTGGAGCGATATGAAAGAGCCGCCCCCGCCCTATAACAAGTGGGGTATGGGAGAAAAGTCATTGGAGATAGGAAGGGTGGTGTACAAGAGAAAAATCATGACAGAGAGAGAGAGAGAGAGAGATAAGGAGGGGTGTGTAGCGGTAAGTAAGATTTGTGTAGTTTTCGAGTTTCTCTCTCTAGGCCCAGCTGACGCTTAGATCAACTCTGAATACAGAGAGAGAGAGATGCTGGTTTGGAGTAAGGAGGGTTGCCATTATTTCAAGGGTGCCGTTTGTAACGGGCTTAGGCTTCAAACGATCAAATTATAACCTACATTCAAATAGTATCGAGAAATGTCTTTTCAATATTGAAAGTTTTTGGGATAGCTTTAAAATATATTTTTATTTTTATTTATAAACTTTAAAGTTTTATAAATATCGTAGATCGATAAATCTATGAAAACTTAAAAATCTTGAAAATTGATGGTCCAAAAATGCGTTACAAAATATACAACCTTTAGACTTGAAATCCATGTTTTTTCTCGTGTCTATACATCTTGATGTCGAAATGATCAATTTGAGGATATTTGAATATCAAAACAACCTCTTCTCGTAAAATTTTTGAGATAGGCTCTAATTTGATTGTTTAAAGCCGCAGCTCTATATTAACTTTTGCCTTAGTTTAAGTCAAAGATGTACAACTGTGGGTACAATCGCGTGCGGGATTGGTGGGCTCTGAGTATAATCCCACTCTCGTATTTGCTTGCTCGCCTCCTCTGAGTCAAAATGTAAAATGCAAAGTCAATAAATCTCGGTCTTATATTGTATCGTCATTTCATTTGTGGGTTTGGGCCACTATATCGCCTCTTTGAGTGATTTTTTTAATCGAGGAGTACAATTCTTTGAGTGAAGTTGGTCTACTCGAATTTGTGCAATTTTTGTATGATAGCCCGTGATTCCCATTTTTGGCTCTACAAATCCAAAACCAAGTCAACTTTTGAACCCACTTCTGGCTTTTTGTGGCAACTTTTGATACTAGACCATGCATATTGCGGAAAAAGTTTACATATGGTTGCAAATCTAGAATTAAAGATGCACCTAAAAAATCTATCATAAAATGTTGTTTGGATGGTATGAATATGAAAAGAAAAAAAGATTTCAAGTCTACGAAATAGTGTATCTTGCACCACATTATTTGGACCGTTTATTTTCAAGATTTTTTCATGTTTATTGATCTACTTAATTTGAATCATTTTAGAGTTTAAAATTTTATAATTAGAGATGAAAATAGATTCTCAAGCCATCCTAAGAATATTTTATATGAAAATTATATTTATGAAAAAATTTAGAGGTACACATTAATTGGATTGTTTAAGGTTGCAACCTTACGCAAACCGCACCCTTTGATACTAAGCTATGCTTTTTCGATTATTTTTCATTACTAAAAGAACCACGTGTTTGTTTGTCCCAAGCTATACTAAGTTTGTTTGTCCCAAGAACCACGTGTTTCTTTTATTACTAAAAGAAAAATAATATATATATATATATATATAATGATCCTACAAGATTCTCTCCCACTCATGTGTGTAGGACCCCAAAGGATGTGATTATCATTAAAGTAGACACAAATATCTAGAAAAGTTATCATATGGGTGTAGAAATCCGTATCAACTTTAATGATGATTCTTTGAGGGTCCTATACACATGGGTGAGAGAGGGTCCTATAGGATCATTTCTTATATATATATATATATATATATATATAGAATATGCTAATAAACGTACTA